TTTCGTTCTGCTGTGCATGGGGTCGCTATGAGTCGGAAACGACTCGACAGCACTTAACAACAACAACAACAACAAGGGTCAGCCTGAATGTCAGGAAGTAGGTAGATCAGGAGAGTATGGTTAAGTATGTGAGAAGCTGCTGAGAAGTAGAGGAAGATGAAGAATTGTCTGCTTGATGTAGCAATAGACAACCAGTCTCTAGTGTGGTTTGTAACTGTATCAGATCTACTGATGTCCTACTGGGGGTACTTACTCCTAGAAAAACATCCATTATTCCAACTGAAAGCACTTGTCACTGGAGCCAACAATTTTCTGAAATATCCAACAATATTTTGAGAAAATAAAAATGACAGGGATAAAGTACAAATCTGGAAGGTACTTTACAGTTACTGTCTGGTCCAGCCAATTTTATTTTATTACTAAGGAAACCAAGCTTTGGAAAGAGAATAAAATCTTCCTAGACCAAACAAGCCAAGTAAGGTTTTTTAATCTTCCCATGAGTCTGATTGCATATCTCTGTGAGGAAAGAAGCTAAACTAGAAGTGTGGCTCCATTACTTGTTAGTTGTAAGACCTTAGGCAAATTGTTTAATCATTCTAAGCCACAGTTTTCTGGCTATAAGATGGGTATAATACAGTTGTTGGCAGGATACAACGAGATCATCTAAAGGATAGTGGTGACATTGCACAACATAATGAAGATAATCAGTGTTACTGAATTTTACATGTGACAGTTGTTGAACTGGCAGATGTTTTATTATATATATTTTTACAATTAAAAAAAAAAATTTAAGGATAGTCTGCATGTTCAGGCCTGAAAATGAACTCACTCCTGTGGCTTCCAGCCAAACAATAGGTAGACATATAAGGTGAATATTTATATCAGGTGTTAAAAGGGCATGGAGACGGCATCTTCTGACCTCCTCTAACTTCCTAAGAGGAAGACAGAATCACCATCAGCAGCCCAAGGATTATTCCCATGAGGCCAGACATGCCGCCACCCTCCAGCCTTTTACCCATTCTGACACCAACCATCCTTTCCACGGCACTCACTACTTATCTGCTGGGTTTGATAATTCATTGCAATGGCCACACAGAATTCTCAGACAATACTCACTATTTGGAGTTTATTAGGGAAGTAACAGGCTACAATTCGAGTTCAGGAATGTGCTCAGGATGTAATTCTTTGATCAGGAAAGTCTTCCCTCTGCTGTGCCGTCAGACGCACCTCTCTGGCCCTTAGCCTCTCTGCCTGGCCTCTGTCCTGCTTGGGCAAATGTTACAAAGCTCTTTTAGCTCTGCCGATAGTTCCACCTAGTGCATCCCACTCTGCCAGCAAGCCTCCTGCCTGAGGGCACACAGCTTTCTCACTCTGTGGGCCAGGTAAGACTGCCGCTTTGTCTCATGCCTCTTGGTTCTACTGCCACTGTCTCTGCTGGCATCTCTCTTCTGGGGCACCTCTTTCTCCCAGGGTACCTCTCTCTGCCAGCGCACCTCTCTCTGTTGGGGCCTGTCTGCCCATGAAGTCCAGAGCAGGAATCTCGGGTCCAAGGACACACTCTACTTCACCTCCAGCTCTTCTCTCTTGATGGCAATGAGATCCCCTCTCTGCATCTAGGAGTGCTCATTTTAAGCCTGGCAGAATGACAGAACTAACCAATCCCAACATCAGAGTTCTACACACCTTATTTGGAGGTCCCACCCAATAATCTGGTGGGAGTTATGAAGACTAAGGCTAGAAAAGCCATACCGAGTAATTCACTGCACTACACCATGTAGGACTCCTTAGAACAATCACTCATGGGAGATCAGAAGGGCAGTATTTACACAGGAAGACAGCTCAGAGGGCAGAAATGCATAGGAAAGAAGGACACAGGGAAGAGGTAACCACAGGGAGGAAGTGGGAAGAGAGTTGTTACATCATGGGGATTGCAATCAATGTCATGAAACAAAATGTGTATGAACTGCTGTATGGAAGATAAATTTGCTCTGTAAACTTTCACCCAAATGTTTCTTTCTTTTCTTTTTTTCCTAAAGCGAATTATTGGGGAGAAAAAGAAAAAAGATAGTTTGCATGAAGCTTGTAGCACAGTAATTTTCAGAAGGTGGGAGCTCCACTTTTGATTATTATACAAATACTAGTAGCTCATGAATATTAGATGAACATTCATAATTACATGCATCACCTCCCCAGTGCCAATTCCTTTATTGCAAATATGGTGGTATATATTGGTAGGGTACTCTAGAAAGTAGAGAGAATTTTATAATAAACTCTAGCCATCATCCAGTTCAACAATTACATATACTACAATTGCCTCCAAGTAAATATGTGTATATATAAGTAGAATGGAAAATAATTTGTAAAATGAAAACAGTTGTATTAAGACATTGGGATTATTTGATGTTTTCCCCCATAAACCTTCTGTGTATATTAAAGAACTTGTCCATGTTCAGTGTATATTTCATTTTTTAAAGAAAATATGAAAAAAAATATTCCTGGAGATAGAAGTTGTTGTCTGTGTATATTTCCCACAGATTCTTAACACGTAGAAGGCACTCAAAGTTTATTGAATGTTTTAATTTCATGAGTCCAAGGTAAATCCTTTTTATTGTGGAGGGGGAAATTAGGGCTCAAATGGATATTGATCTTATCACTCTGGTTTCCTTTCTAGGATTTTAAGCTTGACTTTGGCAATCCCCAAGGCAAACAAAGTCCTACTTGGCATGGAGGCATAGCTACCATTTTGCAAAGTCCTGGAGATGAAGTGTGGGGAGTAATATGGAAAATGAACAAAACCAATTTAAATTCTCTGGATGAGTAGGTGACTTCTAATTATAAGTTAAATAATTACTGATTCAGAAAGTATATGGATATGTAAGGTTAATGTATTGGTATTTGAAAACTGTATACCACACATGTATTCTTTAGTGTCAGCATAGAAGGTATAATAACGTGATTTTGCTAAAAAGACCTGAAAGGATCACACTCTCTGACTGAGATTTGAGGGAATGTTTGTATTTTCTTCTGTAAACAGTAGAAGCCCTTCTGTTTCATTCTGTTTACTTTTCATTTATAGAAATCTCTTTTTGTAGTCTTACTTTGTAAAAAAGCATGAAGATTTTTGTAATTGTTATGGATATTTATTGATTCCAAGAGTTGTTCAGTTTGTATTAGAACCAGTTTTTTAAATATAATTCTTTAAGATGGCACTTGGATAAGTAAGTTAGGTAATGATAATTACTACTACAACAACAACAACAATATGGAAATGTTTTGGTGATTTTTGTAACTGGAACTCTCTGAGTTGTGTGGTCAAGCATTTAATACAAAGAGAGTTGCCAAGAAAGAATAGGACTTGAGAAGAGCAGATATTTTGGGTTTATGGTTTAAAGATTATCTCAGGGCACTGGTTTCATGGGTTCATCCACTCTTCATGGCTCCAGGAAGTCTAGAGTCCATGAAAATTTGCAGTTCTATTCTTCATTTTCCCCATTTTGACCAGGATTCTGTTGCTCCAGGTGAATAGAGACCAATTTTTGTGCCTTGGATCTCTGCAACTAACGAAGAGGTGGAACAGAAGCACTAAATATGTTATTAGGCCAATTAACTGGGATGTCTTATAAAACCATGACCCAAACCTCCAAACCAAGGAACCAAATCCCATGAGGTGTTTGGTTGTACATAAGCAGCCTCAGCAGCTACTCTTTGTTCTTATTTATAATAGATAGATAGATAGATAGATATAGGTATAGATATGTATCTATATACTTGCTAATTCAACTTTCAACAGGTATCCAACTTATTGACAGCAATTACAATAATCAGCTGTGCAACCCTACCCTTAATCGATGCAATTTTTCTATCGCTGTTAACCCCGCTTTTCCCCCTCCTTCCCACTCCTGGTATCCACTAGTAAACTTGTTCTCTATACATTTGCTTTTTGTTGTCTTCTTGTATAAGTGAGATCATACAGTATTTGTCCTGTTATTATTGACTTATTTCAGTCAGCATAATATCTTCAAGCTCCATGCATATTATAGTATGTACCAAGACTTCATTTCTCCTACTGACTGAATACTATTTCATCATGTGTATGTATTATATTTTATTTATGCATTCATCGGATGATAGGCATTTAAGTTTTGCTGATTGTGAGTAGTGCTACAGTGTACATTGGCGTACAAGTCTCTTTTTATGTCTCTGCTTTCAAGTTTTTTGAGTATATACCTAGAAGTGGAATTGCTGTGTCATTTGATAGTTCTGTTTTCAGTTTTTTGAGGAAGCACTACATATTTTCCATACTGGCTGTACCGTTTGCATTCTCACCGGCAGTTGATAAGGGTTCTAGTTGCCCCACATCCTTACAAACATTCATTACTGTTTTTAATCTTAGCTGTCCTAGTGAGAGTGTAATGGTATCTCATTGTGGCTTTGATGTGTATCTTTCTGATGGCTAATGACACTGAGCATCTTTTCATGTGTTTGGTGGCCATCTGAATGTCCTCTTTGGTGAAATGTCTATTCCAGTCCTTTGCCCACTTTATGGTTGAGTTACTTGTCTTTTTATTAAGTCGTCAAAGCTTTATATGATTAGTAGATTCTTGTCAGATGTATGGTTTCTGAAGGTATTCTCCCAGTCAGTAACTTGTCTTTTCACTTTTTTGGTAAAGCTTTTTGATGAACAAAAATTTTTTATTTTTCTGAGATCTCATTTGTTTATTTTGTCTTGCACTATTTGTGTTTTTGTTATTATATTAGATAATCCATTGCTGAAAACTAGGGCTGACAATGTTGCCCCTGATTGTTCTAAGAATTTTATGGCTTTAGTTTGTACATTTAGGTCCTTCATCCATTTTGATTTTGTTTTTGTGTATGGTGAGGCAAAGATCTTGTTTCATTTTTCTTCATGTGGAAATCTAGTTTTCCCAGCATCATTCATGTAGACTCTTCTTTCCCCATCAAATGACTGGACTTAGCCCCCTTGTCAAAAATTAGTTGACCATAAATGTGTGGGCTTATTCCTGGACTCTGAATTCTTTTCCATTGCAATGTCTGTGTGTCTACTGTTAAACCAGTACCAGGCTGTTTTGATTACTGTGGATATATAATATGTTTTTAAATGAGGAAATGCAAGTCCTCCTACTTTATTCTTCTCTTTCAGCATTATTTTTGCTCTTTGGGGCCTCTTGCCTTTCCAGATAAAACTGAAGATTTGTTTTTCTGTTTGTATAAAGGAGGCTGTTGGAATTTTTATCAAGATCGTGTTGAATTGATATGTTTATTTTGATGTGCTAGTATTGAAAATATATTCTATTATGTTCCAACATCTATAGGGAACAACTATTTCTACACATTGCTTTTCATTCTTAACTAAATTAAAACTTAACTAAAAGCTCTTACCCAGTAAACTAAACTGGGTGAATCAAGTATGGCTCAAATGTGGCTGTTCTGGTTTCAGGCAAGAAGGGGTTAGCAGTGGAATATATGTTCCAATAGAAGTTAATGTTTTTGTGCAAGAAAAGAAAGAAATAACCTGTCGAAGTTATCAGATGAAAGACTATGTGAGTGTTCCCCCATCACCACAGTATAAAACGGTAAGCTGTTTACAAAGACTTCTGTTTAATTTTCACTAAGGAGATTAATTAAAAGCTGTTTTGTTTTTAAAAGGCTGTGTGTTTTAAAGAAACTCTAGTATGTAGTGCCTACGGCATTTGACTGCTAACCAGAAGGTTGATGGTTCAAACCTATCAGCAACTCCACTGAAGGAAGACTGGGCAATTTACTTCCATAAAGATTTACCACCTTGGAAACCCAAAGGCAGGGTGCTATGAGTTGGATTGACTCAATGGCAGTGAGCTTGGAGCTTGGTGTGTTTTAAATTCTACAACTCAATTTTTGTCAGTATGTTTTTCAATGCAAAAAGGAGTTATTAACCTAAAGTGCAATTTCAAAAAGTAAAGTTGTTTTCAGGCCGTAGTTTCAGGGGTCCCTCCGGTTTCATTTTGTCCAATAAGTCTGATTTTCAATAAGAATTTGAAGTTCTGTTCCTCAATTTTCCTCCTTTTGATACATTTATGTATAATAATAGAGGCATGTTTCTAAAACTTTATTTAAAAAAAAAAACTTTTAGAAATTACAAGAAAACTCTGAGTCAGAATTCCATGCATGTATTTTCTTTTTTAAAATTATAGTGAAGATACTATATTTTCTTCTTTAAAATAGAAAATAGCATGTCTGAGTTTATTTTTAATAGGTTTATTCTATACATCCAAACTCACTGCCTTCGAGTCGATTTCTATAGTGGCCCTAAAGGACAGAGTAGAACTGCCCCCTATGGACTTTCCAAGGCTATGGAAGCAGACTGCAACATCTTCCTCCTGCAGAGCAGCTGGTGGGTTTCAACCTCTGACCTTTCCAATTAGCAGCTGAGCATTTTAACCACTGTGCCACCAGAATTCCTTATTCTATACATACCCTTTTGTAATCTTTTGTTTCTTTTTTTGTCCACAAAACTATGTGTCATGAATACCAAGATTGATTTTTATGGGGAAAAATATTTCCTACTGTTCCATCTCTATATAGAGAAGGAAAAGTCACAGTGCCTTTCAGAATCAGATGTGGGATAGAGACCTCAGCATCCCTTTTCAAAAACTCAAAATGAACATCCTTGTTTTCAAGTGCAATCAGGACATAGCACCTAGAATGGGTGGTACAGTTCCTGGGCCTCATCTGGTATTTTCCAGTGAGGGGCCTAGAGAAATTAACCTGGTATGGATCTTGGAAGTACCACTGAACATAGTAACCATTCATTTTTTCATCCATGTCAAATTCCAAGCAAGAGTAGATTCTAGTATTGCAACTGAAACTCCTCCCTATAAAATTTTTTTTGAAGAATGGTATTTTTTCTTAGAAGTTCATTCAAATTCTATGCTATAAGATATATACATACAGATAGATGGATAGATATAGGTTTTTGTGTGTGTGTGAAAACATGAACCACAAAGCATACACCTCTTCAATAACTTTTACAATGGTACATTCTTCACATTGTGTCACCTTCTCACTATCTCTGACCCCATTGTTTTACCACCGTTAACTTAAACTCTCTGCCCCTTAAAGTTCTTGTCTGTGGTTTTGCGTTACTATTATCATTTCAGTCTTATGGAGGTAATTCTTCAATAGAGCATAGTGCTCAAGGCAGACATTGTTTATTTATGAGGTAAATTATTTAGTTTAAAGATGACTTCATGCTATAGTTTTGGCTTATAGTTTAAAAATTGTTTTCAGGCCATAGTTTCAGGGGTTCTTCTGGGTTTCAGTGTGTCCAATAAATCTGGTTTCCAATATGAATTTGAAGTTCTGTTCCTCAATTTTCCTCCTTTTGATCAAGATCCATTTTTGGGTTCCTGATCATAACATTCACTAATGGTAGATGGGCACCATCCATTTCTTCTGGTCCCACGGCAAGGGAGATGATGGTTTGTGGAGAAAATTAGACTTGCAAACCATTTCCATCTCTAGTTCCTGAGTCTCCTCCTTCCTCTGTCTCTGCAGATGATTAGAAACCAATTATTGTATCCATGAGTTTTGTTTTAATATTCCACAAGGATCAATCATGTGGCTTTAAAATTACTGCACATTCATACTCAGTATGAGAAGAATGGCTAGATCTCTATTTTTTTCCTGTAATTGTTTATTCTAGAGTTATTCTAATGTTATCTGAAGGCTAATATTTTATGCTTTGACAATATGCATAAAGCTGTGCCATGCTCAGTTAAGTTATGCTCCTAACTGAAAGGGCTTCTTGTTTGTTTTAATAATTTCTAGGTCATTTGCATGGGTGCAGAAGAGAATGGTTTGCCCCTGGAATATCAAAAGAAGTTAAAAGCAATAGAACCAAATGACTTCAAAGGAAAGCTCTCAAAAGAAATAGAAGATATGATCCAGAAAGGAGAAACAGAAACTAATCATTAGAACATAATAGACTATATCCAAGGATATCTATGCTCATAGAATATATCCAAGGATATCTACATGCAACTATAAAACATTTTTAATGTTTGAGAACATCTCATATCCCCATGTTTAATATATTTTCAACAGTGCTTTGAAGGGGTCTCTTATTTGGGTGGTTCCTTTTTTTTCAGACTGTACACAGAAACAGGAGTTAGACAATTAAAGAAGAAACCATGAAGAATTGCAATGTGTGACAAATGGATAGTGGAACTTTTTCTCTGAACACTGGAAGCTGTTTTCTTGAATGAGTTTCAGGTGTCTTCTTGCTCTGTGTGGCAAAGGATACATTTGTACCCTGCTTAATGAGGTGCTAGTGACTTGTTCTGCTCTGTCTGGCATTTTCAATCCAGCTTAATAAGAGCAAACAAACTGCAGAGACAGTTTGATAATAATAAACTTTTAAAATTTTGAAAAAGTATATTCTTTCCAGAGGAATAAATATGCTAACAGTTGAACCTCTTTTCCCTACTGAAATACTATGTTTCTTTATGCAGTAAGAGACTCAAACCATCATACATAGTGAGTCTGATCTTGGCCATTTATGGCCTCTACTAGAGGAGGCAGACTTTGGAGCCAGATATGCTCTGCTCGGTTGTCAGTCACCCCTTTCTAGCTGTGAGAGAGTTTGGGTTACTTGACTCCTTGTGCTCAGTTTCCTTACCAATACAGTGAGGATAATCGAAATTCTTCTGTGTTACAATTCGTGTGAGGATTGAATGAGTATATATATATGTAATGAGCTTAGAACATAACAAGTTTGGAACATAATGAACATTAGCAATCATTGTTCTCATTGAAAAACTAAGTTTGTGCAGGATCTTCCTTAGAACAGGATTTTAAAGGGAAAATGTTTTTTGGAAACGTGGTTTCCAAAACTGTGTTCCTTGGCTTAGCAAGGGATTCTGACCTTAAATGAATTCACTGAACAAGTGGAAGAAAGAAGAGACATGAATACAGCAATACTGAGTATTAAAAAAATATTTCTTAGGTGTCTGTGAAGTGTAGGGAGCTGCACCTTTGCAACAGGCTCCTGGAATGAGAGCTAAGCAGCTGCAGGAGTATAAAATAAAGGTTTCTTTTGTTCCCGGTGGGGGCGGGGGGATGATGAAAGTACTTTTCAGGCTGTGGCAGCAATTCTGTAGTGTGGCTGAGCCATAGAATACAGGTTAGACCATGTTTTACAGCTGTCACACCTCACTATTTTCAAGCCTACCCTCCAATTTTCTAGTTTTCTCCTGTTTCTTAACTCCTAGTTCCCAAGAAGAACTTGTCAGTGACTCAGAGCCCAGTTATAGTAATGTATTGAGCAAGGTCCACTTTTGCAGTTCATACTAAGAAATGAGTATTATCCTAATAATGTATTTTACCTACTTAAAATGACAGCTTTCATTAAGGAATTCAAAGTGGTGGCAATAAAACTTTCATGTCTGATTTTTTAACAAAAATCTGGTAATCTTGAGGAATACTGTAGTTCCAGTTGTTTTCCAGATAATGTCATATGTGAAGGATTTCCATTGCTACCATTGATTTTGGCCCTCTTGTCATGATACAACCAGATTCTGGATAAACTACAACAAACATAGTTTTGTAAAGCATTTCTGGGCTTGCAACAAAGTAAGGAAAATCTTCAAGATGGACCAATAACCCTACAAAACAAGAGAAAGAAGGAAGATGAACTATGATCTGAAACAGAACTGACAGTATAGGAAAGTAAGTGACCGTAATGTCCTTGGGTACTATGAAAATGGCATCGGGGCAACATCTGACTGCTGCTAAATTCATAAGTGGGGAGAAAAATCAAGATAACAGACCAAGGCTGATTTCTATGAGGCAGAGATCACAAATGCCTCCACCCTCCAATTCTGACAGCAGCCGTCCCTTCCATGGTACTCTACTTCTCTGCTGGGTTAACCTGTTGCAGTGGCTGCACAGAACTCACAGACAATTCTCATGATGAAGTTTTTTAGGAAAGTAACAGCTTGCAATTCAGGATCAGGAATGCTCAGGATACAGTTCTTTGATCAGGATAGCCTTCCCTTAGCTGTGCCTGAAGACAGGTCTCTCTGTGCCCCTCAGCCCCTCAGCTTGTTACAAAGCTCTTCTAGCTCTGCCAATAAATGCCTCGAGGCATCCCACTTCATCAGTAAGCCTTTGCCCAAAGACACTTGGCTTTCTTGTTCTGTGGGCCAGAAAACCCACTGCTTTGTCTCGTGCAGGTCTCTTGGTTCTGCTGCTCCCATTTTCTGCCACTGCTTCTTGCTATCTTTGGTGTCACAGATCTCTGTGTCCTGAATTGAGGAGGTTCAGCACAGGGATCTTGGGTCCAAAGGATGGACTCCACTCTTGGCTCGTCTATCCTGATGGTAGTGAGATTCCCCACCCCCTTTCTGCCTCTGGAATGGCTCATTTTAAGCCTAGCAGGATGGAAAAACTGACCAATCCCCACTTTCGGGTTCCATACACATTATTTTCATGGACCCACCCCCACAAGTATGCCATACACCTTATTTACATTATTAACAAGGTATCCAGTCCCTTTGGTGGGCCACAAGTACCTAACATTGGCATAGTCCCATCCAGTCATCTGGTGGGCCTCACAAAGACCAGGCTATAAGAGCCATACCAAGCAATTAACTGTATCCCAGTGGGTGCCAGTAATAGCCCTGGAACTGGACTACTAACCCTGGAACACTCCTACTGCAGGTTAGGAAAACTGAACTTGAGACATGTATGGAACTAGGGCCTTTGAAGAGGACTAAGTGGTCCCTAGTTGGTAACTCTCAAGACTCCCAGCAGAGGCAAATACAAATCCTGTCTGGAAAAAGCAATCCTAAATTAGGTTCTCACAGTTTCCACGTGACTGAGAGGAGAAAAAAATTTAGACTTCCAAGGTTTCAGATATTAAAATTATAAAAAAGAGAATACAAAATAATATGTATGGAGACTCTGACTTCTGGAAAAAATGGAGAAGACCTACTTTTCCTTATTCTCACTGAGTACAATATGATTTACAATTGCTTTTTTTAAAAAAGAAATACTTAGGTATGTTTTAGGTGCTGTCAAGTCAGTTCCAAGTCATAGAGACCCCATGTACATCACAACAAATCACTGCCCAGTCCTGCACCATTCTCACAATTGTTATGTTTGCACCTATTATTGCAGCCACTGTGTCAATCCATCTTGTTAAGGGTCTTCCTCTTTTTCACTCACCCCCTACTTTGCCAAGCATGATGCACTTATGTAGATTTTACAGAACATGTGTGGGTCTTATATGTGAAAAACTATAAAACACTGATAAAAGAAGAAAAAAGATCTAAATAAATGGAGAGGCATACCAAATTAATGAACTGGAAGAATCAACATAGTAAAGGTGCCAGTTCTCCCCAGTTGATGTAAAGGTTTAACTCAATTCCTATCAAAATCCCAGCAAGGCTTATTGTAGATATAGACATGTTTTTCCCCCCTCCCTAAAATTTATATGGAAAAACAAAGGAACTAGGACAGGTGGAACAATTTTGAAAAAGAATAAAATGTAAGGAATCAGTCTATCCATTTTCAAGACTGTGTGCTATTGGTGGGGGGATATATATAGAGATCAATGGAACAGAGAACCCGGAAATAGACCCACACAAATATGTCCAAATGATTTCTGACAAGTTAAAAGGTAATTTAATAGAGGAAAAGGAGCTTTTCCAACAAATAGTGCTAGAGTAGCAATTGGACATCCATAGGCAAATAAACGAATCTCGACCAAGTCTCACACCTTATGCAAGAATTAACTCAATGGATCACAAACTTAAATGTCCTACCTAAATTTAGAATACTTTTAGGAGGGAAAAATAGGAGAAAATCCTCAGGATCTAGGGCCTGTCGACGAGTTCTGAGACTTGACACCCAAAGCACAGTCTGTAAAAGGGAAAATCGTTAACTTTGACTTCATAAAATTTAAAACTTTTTTTTTTCAAAAGACCCTGTTAAGAGGTTGGAAAGACAAACTACATACATAGTGGGAGAAAATATCTGCAAACCACACATCTGACAAAGGACCTTGTTGCTGTTGAGTCTATTCTGACTCACGACAACTCCATACATGCAGAGGAGAACTGCTCCATACAGTTTTCAAGGCTGTGACCTTTTGGATGCAGGTCATCAGGCCTGTCTTCTGAGGAGCGTCTGGGTGAGTTTGAAGCACCAATCATTTGGCTAGTATTTGGGCACTTGACTAATTGTGCCACCCATGGACTCTGATAGCATTAGTATCTAGACTACATAAGAAATTCTCAAAACTCCACATGAGAAAAAGAATTAGAAAATGGGCAAAAGATAAGAAGAGACATTTCACCATAAAGGAGATACAGATGGCAAATTAGCACATTAAAAGATGCTCAACATCATTATCCACTAGGAAAATGCATATTCAGCCTACAGTCAGAACTGTGCAAAACAGTTTGGTAATCCCTTAAAGGTTAAACAGAATTACCATATGACTCAACAATTCCATTCCTAGATATATACCCAAAAGAACTGTACTCACACAAATACATGTACACATATATTCATAGCAGCCATTTAATAATAGCCAAAAATGGAAACAGCCCAATGTCCATCAATGGATGAATGCATAAACCATTATACAATGGAGAATTATTTAGTTATAAAGAAGGAATTAAGTACTGATACATGTTATAATGTGGGTGAATCTTGAAAACATTACATTAAGTGAAAGAAGCCAGGCATAAAAGGTCATATATGACTATATGTATGGTTATATAAAGACAGCATGAAAGATCTTTGTAATGATGGAAATGTTCTGTATCTTGACTGTATCATTGACCATGTTCTGGTGATGTATTACAGTTTTGCAAGATGTTATCATTGGAGGAAATTGAGTAAAGGGTAAATGTGATGTTTGCATTATTTCTTACAACTGCTTGAGAATTTTAAATTACTTCAAAATGAAAAGTTTAGTTAAATATACA